GGGGGGGGGGGGTGTTGCAGGTGGACTGTCGGCTGCAGCAGCAGAAGGAATTGAGGATGGCAGAATTTATTTCTAGCAGCAGAGTGGGTTGGAAATGGATATTTAATGTTATTAATTGTTTTTTAATGCCCTACAGGCTCTGACATGTTACATAAATGTGAAACAGAGTTTTTGAAAAAAATCTGTAAAACATGAAAAAATCTGTGAGATCACTCTATACGTCCACAACCTGCAGAATGATGGGAAATCCATGTGAATTACAGATAATCCGTACTTGACATGTATGCAGTCCCCGACARCCCCACTCAGCCATAGTTCCTGAAAGTGAGTTCATCAGGTCGACCTTGATAGCTATCGGCCACCAGCTCACAGACGTGAGTGGAAGAAGGGATGGTGGGGGCGGAGACTCAGTTTACATAAYGTCCAGGAGAGCTGGAGATATCCAGACTTCAAGATGGGAGCCAGATTCAGATAATCACAGTTTAAGGCCTAACTTTCCTTGAAAGAGTGCACGTCTGAGTTTTGAACTAAGATCATCTTGTGTTAAGAAAGACAGGCTTGTAGCTGTTTAGGTTAAAATGTAAAAATATATTTTGTGCTAACTTTTATGACATTGTATGATCTGTTAGCTCTCAGAGTATGTGTTGAGAATGACTCTCACTACCACATCATTATCGATCAATATCTGTAGAATAAAAGCAGTGTCTGTGTTTGATTAGCTGTGGCAGTCATTTAGAATTGAATTGAATTGAATTTGAGAAAACTCCAATAATTAGTTCTCCATCCAGTGATTACTTTCTGAGAGTTTCATCCAACTTTGTCCAATGGTCTATGGGCTATTTTGCTAACAATCAGAGCTAACTCCAATAGTTTAAACCAAGTTTGTATCTTGTGAGATCAGGTTGTGATTAACATCCTCTGGCCTCCAATCTTCAGTGCCACCTGGACTGCTTGGCAGCTGAGTAGGTTCTATGTTTGGGACCACCCATGGGAAAGACTCCGAAGCTGTGCCAAGTAGGGCCGAGTTGAACTCATGGAAAAAGGCCAAAGATTAACTTGAAGGCTAACAAAAACAAAGCATTATAGGGAGGTGTGTTTGTAAAAAGTTGCATGATAAGGTGTGTTGTGAAGGAGTGTTCTGTCTAATCAAGAACAGAACAAACAGAATGAACAGTATTTTACAAAATAAAGGTACAGAGCCCCATTGAGGGTCTAACAGCTTGAAGTAGATAGAAATAATTTGTCTGAACTGGGATCTACTGTAGTCGCTGATATGGATTGTTGGCTGGTCTGTTGCTCTCACAGTTGCAGTCAGCTGGCTAACAGCCTCTGCCCTTACAGTGACAGCTTGTGTTCATAGCAAACCATCTTTTTATTCTAAAAAAATGTCCATTGTTCACCTCCTCGCACAGAGAGTTGTACTAAAGTCATCAGATCGTCAATGTTTGCTGCATGCAGGATGTTTTTTTCTGTCTGTTTCTTTTTTTTTCTTATCTGTTTCTTTACGGACAGATAAGAAGCATGTTTCTTCGACAGAAAAAAAAATTCCCAGGCTCCAGTTCTATGCAAGTGGACTATGCAAGAGCTCTAAGACATTTACAATTTATCTCAGTTACACTGGAAGAGTTTGAAAGTTAGACTTTCTTACGTTTACATTAACTTTCTTTTATAATCATCTTTATTGATAAATTTCTGATGTATAACTCGCAGAAAATAAGACAAGGACCAAGATCAAAATAAATGTTAAACTGCTGCCAGTAGCTCACTGTGGTCACCGTGCTTAACCACACACCTGAGTGTTTCATCCCCTGACTGAATTCTTCAAAAAGTCAGGCAGACATAAAGACGGAGAAAAAAGTAAGCCTTTAAGGGGACATATCCTGCAAAATCCACATTTTTAGCTGTATTTTGTTGTGGACTTGGAGTTTCTAGGAGGCATAAAAGTTGGATTTAGTCTTTCCTGGTGCTGCAAAGATATCTTTGTATCCTGTTTGGATCAGATTATTCAGCCCATTCAGTTTTCTCTGTTTTCTTTGACGTTTTCTCAATGATTACGTCAAATCATCTGTGACGAAATTACCAAATAAGGTCTGAACTTACCATTTACAAATTCCTCGTCTTCATTCTCCTCTGGTTCTGGGTCATACTCTGGTTCCGGGTCATACTCTGGTTCTGGGTCATACTATGGTTCTGGGTCATACTCTGGTTCTGGATTCAACTCTGGGTCCAACATGTAAGGCTGGAAGGACAAGTGTCCCCTTGCTGACATCTTTTAATTAAATTGTAAATAAAACATTTCTGCACTTCTAAGAAAYGTAACCCCCCTCTTTCAAACCGGAGTGGACCGGTCTGGAAGCTGGAGGGGGGCGGAGCTTGAAGCACTTCAAAGGAACAATAACAAAACAAGCTGCTTTGAAACACATCTCAGAAAAGAGGGTGGAAGAGGGGCTGTTAGAGTTAAAATAAGGAGGAATTCTAACCAAAGCATTGCAGTTCCACTTTATAAAGACCCCCAACTGAATGATTTAAATGTGAAAAGGAAGGATTTAAAACCATGATACTTCAAACAAAAAGGTCAACCAAAAGTCAGAAATTATTCTGATCAATATTCCTGAACCGTACATGACAGAAGTTCATGGTCATCTCTGTTTTCATGTCTGCATTGATTCATGGAGAAGCTCAGTTAATTGCGTCTTGTAAAGCCTTAACTTTACCATTTAAACTGTGACTATTGTAATGTGAAGCCTGTTTTGAGCTCAGTGAGCTGTAGGGCTGTCCTGTGTGGTTCTACAGGAGAAAACTGGACTTCTTTTTCATGTTTGAACACTTAGGATTACAATATCCATATATTCTTTTCCCCAAAATCTCCTCGACTTCCAGAAGGAACGTCTTTTTTTTCCTATTTTTTTTTTTTTTTGCAAATTTTGTTGACAGGATTCACGGCCACCGAAAGTCAGAGTGTTCACATTTTGATTTGATTTATATGTTTTGTATAATTTTTCGATTCCTCAAAATTTTAGTAACCGGGATGTATCGGTGATGAAAATGAAAGAACAACTGAATGACAAGATTTCATGGCGTTCTTAGTAATATCACTTTACTTGTGTTTCAGTCACAGTGGGACAGGGACAAATACAGACAGTGACTGTGAATCAGCCTCTAAAACTGTCCATACGCTCTGTGGAGGAGCAGGAGACCACCCTGCCCTGTCACTATGAACCACAGGAGGGTGAAGTGGTGGTGCAGGTCACCTGGTTCAAGGTGAATGCAGATGGCTCCAAAGAACAGATGATCACTGCACACTTCGAAGAAGGACAGACAGGTATGCTGAAGAACTTCAGGGTGTAGGTTTCGCTGTTTAACCTGAGACTCTTTACGTTCTGTGAACTCTTTTCCCCTCTCTGCCYGCAGCTTTCGGGTTGTGGTTTAAATACGTACGCTTTAAAAGTGATAAACCCACTGTGGACTCATCCCTGATCATCTTGAGCACAAGGGTCTCTGATGAAGGAGAATACATCTGTCGCAGCAGCATCTTCCCAGCTGGATCCTTTGACACAGAGATGTTCCTCGTTGTGTGGAGTAAGTCCAGCCCTCACAGTTCACAGGTTTACTAATATTTACTACAGAATWACAAGAGTGATCATGTGTGTCTATTCATTACAATCAGCCATGRGAACTGATAACTGTCACACAATYGGTCCCCATGTTATAGTTAGCATGYRGCTGACATTAWAACAAGTGAAACCACACTTCCTCATCAGTTGAACTGTTACTTTCTTCATRCAAAAAACTCCTTTAACATTTCATWRAAAGAGGTAACTTCAAGCCAGAGGTCTATAAAGTACTTGGGAAAAAAACAACTAAGTAAAAGTACCTTAACAGAAAATGACTTTGGTAAAAAATAAATTTCACTGATGAGAAAACTACTTAAGTAAAAGTCATAAAAATGTTCACAAAAATTGAGAAAGTAGAAGTGAAAGTACTTTTCCACGCTCTCTAACAAATAAACTTAAATCGACAGAACCAAACGAGCTCCACAAAACCAACTTGATTAAATTGGTCAATTTCTTTAAAATAAAATTTGTATATCGCCTCAAATTTACTCTACTAGGTTTAGTAGAAATAGTTGATATGATTTAGTTGAGTAAATTCAGCACTTAATATTTTAGAGCACATAAACAACTCCTTTCTTGATGAGTTCAGACAGATTTATTTGTAGCAAGTGACTAAGTGTTAAACTTTAAAGTGAAGAAGTAAAAGTATCATTTTTAGGTTTTAAAAGTAACTAAGTAAAAGTCATGATTTAAAAAATACTTGGTAAAATTACAAATCCTCAAAAAATTACTTAAGTACTGTAACAAAGTAACTGTACTTAGTTACTATAAACCTCTGCTTCAAGCGTAAGAAAACATTTTAGTCAAACAAATAAAATTACTGAATAAAGTAGTAATATTTGAAGTAATAAACCAGTTTCTTTTTAAATTGGGATTGATCATTTAGCAGTCCATACTAAACAGAAGTCTCTTTCATATAACAGTAGTGTAAAATGGCCGCACAGACCAGTGTGCCTTTATGTTTCCTCTGGCTGTTTAAAGATMATTGATGGAGCCTGCCATKTCCCGCACAGATGTGAGCTTTCATATATGAAGCAAGCATCGCAGAACCAAAAGAGGCACAAACTCAACTGTAGAGCTAGTTGGTTCCTGGTCTACCYGGTTTAATAGTTCGTGTTCTCACACTGAATCAGGTCCCACAAATCCAAGGTCTAAATGAGCCCAAATCCTTCATGTAAAATTCACTTTTTTAGCTGTTATTTAACAGCTAGTATTTTGTTGTGGACTTGGAGTCTCTATGAATAAAAGTTGAATTTAGTCTCTTATGGTGCTACAAAGATATACTGTATTTATATTCTTTAGGGGTCAAAATTATAATCTTGTTCAATTTTTTCTATTTACTATGACATTTCTGAGCTGTTACATCAAATTATTTGCGACAGAACCTCTGACTAAGGTCTGGATTTACCAACCAGCCATTTTTGTCGTCTTCATTCTCATCTGGCCCTGGGTCAGACTCTGGCTCCAACATGTAAGGCTGGGTGGACAAGACTTCCCTTGTTGACATCTTAACAAAACATTTCTGCACAGCTCTAYAAAACTAGAATGAACCAGTCTGGAAGCGGGAGGGGGGCGGAGCATGAAGCGCTTCTTTTGGATTTAAAGAGACAGCCTCAAAACGAGTTGATCTGAGACACACCTCAGAAAAGGGGATAAAGAGGGGCTTGTGGAGTTACAATAAGGAGGAATTCTGATCAAAGCATCGCAGTTCCACTTTATATGGACCCTAACTGTATCTATCTATCTTGTCATCCTACAAGGCGACCAATGAAATATCATGGTCAAAGTTTTTTTCTTGCTAATGTTCCAATGTGGTTTTAAGGCACCTGGTATTCTAAGGCGGTCTCCCATCCAAGTGTTGGCCTGTTCAGGGTGGTATGTCCCCAACTGAAGGATTTAAATGTGAAAAAGAAGAATTTGGTTTATATAATTTGGTGAATATTTCTTGTTAGCTTTTTGAGGATTGTAATTTATCAACACTTTGGTTACTCAATGAAACTGTCCTTCCTGCAGCCAGTCCCATTTCCTCTGTGGATCCTGTGGTTGTGGTGGAGGAGGAGTCCTCCAAAAAGGTGGCTTCCTGTCGCTCTGTGGGCCGCCCACCACCCATGCTCTCCTGGGACACGGAGCTGAAAGGCCAGGTTATCAATCGCTCCTCCGACAATGGTGCTGTCTCCACGCACTTCTCCCTGTACCCTCGTAGGGGTATGAATGGCAAGAAGCTGGACTGTCTGGTGTGGCATCCCCTTCTACCGACCCCACGCAGGATCGAAAACAGGCTGGAGGTGCTCTGTGAGTATTATTGTGTGAGGTTTAGCCAAACAAGATCAAAAGAAATGTTAAAGTTCCTGTCAAGAGCTAATAATTGTCACCATGATAACCACACACCTGTGTCTCTCACTCCTGGACAGAACTCCTAGATTAAAATAGGAAATAGGAATTAAAATACTCGAAGGAAACATGTTTATCAGCCATATAGTTATAGAAGCTTTATATCCGGAAGCACTGAAGCACAGTTATAATATTAAGACA